GCGTCCGAGCTCTCCTTGGACGGGCCCCTGGGACTGGTACTTGGGAAGCCACGTGTGCCCTCGTGTCCTCGCCCCGGCCTCGGGGGCACAGACTGCGATCGCTGAGAAGGTGAATTCGTGTCCTGAGGGTTGTTCGCCTTGGGGACCTCTCCCCCAGGCCGCCCCTAGGAAAAAAAATTCCGGTGCGTGGCTGCTGGCGGCCGAGAGAGGGCCGAGGTGCCACGGACACACCCCCTTGACGCTAGGAGACCGAGGCCTGGCCAGGAAAGCCCTGCTGGGATGTGGTCGCTGGTCCAGGGTCTTTGGCCGCTTGAAAAGCTCCTGGGTCAGCGAGGCAGGAAAGTTGAGTAGAGATGTGTTTTTGTGTAGGAAGGTCAGATAAGGGACAAGTTAGCAGGATAATGGGTGTAAGGAAGAGCCTGTGAGTCTGAAGTAACAGTGCCTCGGTGGTACTCTGTATTTGGTATATTTACTAATAGCCTTGCCAGATGTATGTGTGTGGGAGGGATTGAACGCAGAGTTTTGGCTTCCCCATTTTTAAAAATTTTGATTTTTGTGCTACACAGTGACTTTAGGGAAATTGGCTGTTTAATAATTTATCTGGATTCTAGGTAAGTTTTCTGGATTCTAGAAAAAAAAAAGCCCATTGAATGCCTATAGTTGGTGATTCCAGGCATCCGAAGGCTTTAGAATAAATTGTATCTATCCATTATTCAGTTATGTACAAGAATAGGTGATCATTTGTAATATCACTTTTTTTGGGAGACAGGAGAAACACATTGTAAATCTTTGCTTAGCTATAGCATCTTGTCTGTCTTGTTTGGGAAATTGAAGGGCCACTTGGTAGAAGTCAGTGTGCAAATTTATTTTCTCTTTCCCCCAAGTGCTTGAAAGTATTTATAGAAAACATTTGCAGTGACAGAGAATATCAGCAGTTTGTGTAGTTGACTGAAGTGAATGCAACGAGGTGGGGGATAGTTGGCCAGATGGAAGTATGCGGTTTCTATTTTGGAAAAAGAGGTGTGTCCTTTTGGTTATACTCCCAACCTTGTAAGGTTCACCTTTTATAAATTGTGAAATACCATGTATGCTTATTAACTTCACACAATTTTATCGAAGACTCTCTGGACTTACAGTGGTACACTCAAGAAACAAACAAAAGTGAACTGGTTCTCTCAAGTCTACAATACAGAGGGTGGAGCTCAAGGCACTTGCTCCCCGGTTCTGTGTGACTGACTTTGCATTTTTTTAACTTCTCACTGTAGTGTTAGCTTTCAAAAGTTCATTCACCTAGTTCCTGATGGGTTGGTCTAAGTAGCTCCCAAGGCTTTCTGGAGCTGGTTTTATGAAATTATCTCAAGGACTCTGGAAAACGGGCAGAAATCTGAATTGAGATTAAGTCTAGTATCTCTAAACTAGATCACTACTAATAAAAATTTAAAATGTAGGGATAGTCAGTGTCTTTGAAAACTTAAACTCTCTCTTGAGTAGTATTTGTCTGTCACTGGGTGATGCTATTAGAATAAGACAGCACTGAAGTATGACTGTACAGCACAGTTTTGTGATGACCTAGCCACAGAGGCAGGATAGGTTTTGTTGCAGTTTTATTGGCTTTCTTTCTTACTGATAGGAGTTGGTTTTGCATTGATGTTAAGGCAGTATTTGCAGTGAGAGTAGATCAGGTGTAGCCTGAATAAGAACAAGTAAGGGATACCAGGCTGCATGAAGTTCTTCTCCCATGGTATTCTGTAAAAGGTAGGAATGGAAAGATGTTTACATTGTTTGCTATATTGTTGGGTAGAACTCAGCTAAGGTGCATGAATTGGTTATAAAAGAAAAGGACCAATTAATTGATTGTTTCATGACACCAGTACAATGGCTACTGTGTTGTAACATCATGGTAACATGATTTTGTATGAAAACATTCTCTTTTGTTACGTTGGTTGTTGTTGGGGTGTGTGTGTGTCAGTCTCTATTTAGGGTGCTTGTTATAATGCACATAGTTGATGTTGCCAGAGTGTCCATGTAGTTTTCCATCCCAAAACCTCTGATTTTCTGACTTTGTAGAAAAGTCAAGAGTTACATGAGGTATCTTTTTAATTGATGAAGCCTGTACAAGATTAGGATTATATACTTCATCTTGGGGCAAAGGTTTGGCTTTGAATTGATCTTCCTGGTAGTAGTGCATTATTTCAGTCTTGCCTTTCTTCCCATTGGCTAATTAATGACTTATCTTGGGAAGAGAAGACTTTTAGTTAAGGATTTTGCTTCCAAGTCCCATGATCTTGCAAAAGCATAAACCATTATTGGGATCTGTTTGTGAAATAAGCTGGTGGCAGAGGCGAAGTTTTATTAACCAGACACCTTGACAGTCACACATTAGATTTTAGATGAAACAAAATTGACTTGGCAAGGATAATCTTGCCAAAAACACACTGTCAACCAAAGAGAAGGTTTTATTTAAAATACTTAATTAAATACTTAATTGTACAAATCAAATAAGAAATGAGCAGTTTTTGATTTACTTTCTCCCATAGTGTCGTAACCTCAGAGGAACCATCTCTAATGGCTTCCATTTTTAGATACAGTTGGATAAAATAAGTTCACTTAATGACACATCTATTGGATTAAATGATTTCTGTTTATTGTCTTCATAGCTGGTTCTTAGGTGGAGATGTAATGCCTTGCTTTTGTTTCCTTTTGTTTGAAAAAAAATGGGTGCCATAGGTTGTAGTAAGTCCTAGGCAGATTTTTCTTTTCCATATATATGTAGTCAGCTGTGTAAGCAGTTAGTGCATTAAAGAACATGATCTGGGGTACTGTTAAGACCTCTTAACTGAACCTTGTTACTGTCAGATCTTCTAGCCACAGGCACCAGAGCTGTCTATCTAAGGGTGAACATCTGGCCGCTTGGCTCGTTTGCTTGTCAGTACCCAGAGGCTCCCTTCATCCATCACCCAGGGAACCTAGCAAAGTACAGATTCCTGAGCCATTCCTCACGGTTTGATGCAGTGCAGAGGATTCCTACACTTGGCTTCTCTGAACCATATGCCTCAAATTACTATGGATGAATCCCAGAGATCTACATTTTTTTTTTAAACCAGTACCCTGTGTTTTCAAGGGGTTCCCAGAGCATACTTTGAGAAACACTGTGTTTCAGTAATCCCTTTGTAGATGGGGACTCCTGTCTACCTCTTGGACTTTAATGCTTGTTATTTCTGGAACTTCATGTTTGACAATCTTAATTTTAATTTTCATTAGATGTGATGATTTAAGCAGTACATTAAAATGTAAAGCAATGCTGTATAACCAGTCTTCCTTCTCATCGCCCTTTATTCAGTTTTGGCCCCTGCAAGTAACTTGTTTGTCCCTTTCTTGTGTTGTGTTTCCTTTTGGAAATAATCTCTGTGTGTAAGTGCAGTGAAGTGCCTTTTCTTTGTCTTTCTCTCTCTCTCTTTTTAAATTTATTCTTTGTGTATTTCACATAATGCATCCTGATCCCACTCATATCCTGTCCCCTCTTATCTGCCCTCTGCTTCTGCACCTCACACCCCAAAATAAAACAAGCTAAAATTTAAGATAAAAAAAGAAGGTAAAAAAATGAAGGGAAAATCTTGTCAGGGAAGCTGTGGTGTAACACAGTGAGTCACACAGTAAACCCCTTTTTCCATACATCTTTACATGAAGGTGTACATTGAAAAGAACCATTGGTTTGGATCCAGGCCTCTTATCTACGCTATACTGTGAACACTGGGCTCTCACTGGGACTCTTCCTGGACATTGTATTACTGCCCTGTGTCATGGGGATCCTATAGCCTCTGGTCCACAGGATCACCTCTCTCCCACTATACTCCAGCAGATCACACAAATGGGGTGGATGTTGAGGTGGGCCAACACTTATCTCTGGTTCTGGGCCTGGGTAGTTGCATGGTTGGTCAGCCCACCAGCTCTCCTCGGTCTTCACCACCAGGGTAAGCTCTCCAGCATTGCCCTGGCTAGTTCACCCCTTGTAGCCATGAGCAAGAGGTGGGGTCAGTTCTCTTGCTTTCACCCCTCAGGGTTGGCTCTCCTACACCTTCATCTTGAAGGCCAGCTCTTCTGTGTAGCCCAGTGACGTGTGGGTGTTGCAGCTGATGAGGGGCAGGAACAGGGCTCTTATGACCTTAGGGATCTCCCCCATCATTCCACCATATGACAGATGAGTAATGGGAACAGCTCTCCCATCTGCCTCAGGCATTGATGGGGGCGGTTTCTCCCCATCATTTCACCACATGACAGATGAATAATAGGGACAGCGATCTCATGCTCACAACTTTGGGGCTGGCTCACCTACACCTCCACCAACAGGATTGGTTTTATTGTACTGTCCAGGTGAGGTGCAGAGCCTGTTCTCCTGAGTGGGGGGCAGGGGCAGCTCTCCTTCTCATATGACCTCAGGGCCAGCTCTCCCACCTTCCTCAGATGTTGATAGGGTGTGGAAGGGTGTCTCTCTCCTTCCTATACCTCCACATGACAGATGAGGGATGGGGACAGCTCTCCTGTGCTTACAACTTTGGGACTGGCTCACCCACACCTCTGCCATCAGGGTTGACTCTACTGTGCTGTCCAGGTGAGTGTTGCAGCTTGTAAGGGGGAAGGTCAGCTCTTTCACCCACCACAGGTGGCAGGGGTAAGGAGGTGCTTTTTCTATACTTCATTCCATTTGCTCCGTGATAACGTAAATTATTCTTTAGCGAAGCAGTATTGATGCAGATTCTCACACAGAGCACTCTTATTCTGTTGCTTTAACAGCACATACATATTGTTCCATTTTGTGCATGTGTCTTGTTGTGATTGGTTTAATTTTCTATCAAATGCACCTACTGCAATAACCATCTATTTTTCATATATATGAGAATGAAGTTCTACTACAAATACCCAAGAGTAGAGTGAATCAAAAGGCAAGTGCATATGAAATTTTAATAGGTCTCTCAGATTGCCTCTCAGTGTTCTTGTATATGATGGTTGTCTCTGTTGTTATCCTGACTGGGATTATGACCATCCAAGATACTCTCCTCTGAGTGGACCTATGAGGATGTTCAGAGTTGATTAGCTGAGGAATGTGGATAGCATCATGCCATGAACTAATGTCCCAGACAGAATAAAACCGAGCCTAGCATCAGCATTGATCTCTTACTGCTTCTTGATGGCAGACCCTGTGTGAGCAGTATACTCGGGCTGCCTTGTCGGTCCTGCTAAATTGAACTGCTTCCCTTTAAACCTCCATCTGAAAAATTAGCTATCCCTTCCTTCCTTAAGTCACCCCTTCTTTGTCACTACAACCAGGAAACAGCACACCATGTTATTTCCCAGTGGTGTATGGGAGTATGTACCTTTTCCTAAGTGGTTTATCTAAAGTTTGCATCTTTACTAACTTCATCTGCATCTGTTGGTGTCTTTACCTTTGCAGGCCAGTTTGTTTAATGTTTTTCTCTGTTCTCCAATTCCTGTTCACCTTTTGAGGTCAGGTTCAGACAGAACCCTTCAGAAGTCCTTGATATTTGCTATGCTTCCACCTACCAAGGTCATCCTGAGGATTATGAAAAATACCAGTCTGTGATTTCTTTTGTAGACTGTCAGCTATTTAGGGACAGATGTTCTGTCTTTTCTTCATTCTCCCTACCCTCCAACCCCCATTGAGATCTCAGGAAAGTGATGTTCTTTGGACCGGCTTCAGTTCTTTTCTTCCCCAGTCTGGCTCCAGGTTTTTCCCATCCCAGGCCTTATCGCCATCTGGCAGTATTCCAGGTTAGTTGGTAAGGCAGAGATTGCCAGCACCGGCTCTTTAAAGGAGTTTCGGGCTTAAAATGTTTGAGGAACAAAGTAAACAAAGGATGATTTTTGTTGTTTTGGCAGAAAAAAAGATTTTAAGCTCTGTAGAACATAATTTGGAAAACAAAGGCTAAAAGTATACTTCATCCCATAAATATTTGCATGGTGGGGGGGTAAGGACAAGCAAAAGATGTGCTTTCCTCTTTTCTTCTCTAGCTTTCTCCTCTGGCAGCTGCCAGGATTTGCAACTTGCCTGCCCTTTTAAACTGAAATAAGATTGTCACTGAGCTTTCAAATAGAGAAAGATTGAATGTCACAGTAGTTGAAATGCCCTGGGTTTTAAATTTTTATTTATTTATTTTTTCTTCACTGTGAGCAGCGTTATCTGGGGAAGCCCTAATTTCAAGTGTGTGCCCAACCATAGAAGTATCAGTGGCTTTGCTTTCTAAACCCTGATCACTTTTCCTTAACTGTGGGAAGGAAGTTCTTTGTAGATGCAAGTGTTTGTTCACTGATGCATGTTTAAGTTTTAACCAGAGAAGTTCAAGTTGACTCTATTTCACTTTTACTAATATATAACAGAAATACATAATTTCAAATACCAGCCATTGTGACAGTTATTTCATGCCTTAGAAACATTACATTTTTTTCTTTCTGATGAACCACTAGATATTCATCATGTATGAAATTAGATCAATTTTTGTAACACATTTGCATTGTCACCCTACTGAAAGTTTTATACTTGGAGTGGCATTGATTTGTCATTCCAAAGCAGGTTGATTTTCTTTCTTCTTTTTTATAAAGATTGATTTGTTATTTTATGTGCATTGGTGTTTTGCTTGCATGTTTGTCTGTGTGAGGGTGCCGGATCCCTTGGAACTGGAGTTATAGATAGTTGTGAGCTGCAATGTGGTTGCTGGGAGTTGAACCTAGGGCCTCTGGAAGAGCAGCCAATGCTCCTAACTACTGAGCCATCTCTCCAGCCCCAGCAGGCTGCTTTTCTAAGGTCATTGAGGTGAACTAAAAAGGTATTGTATTTAACATTGTGCAGTGGTAGTTAATTTTATACCACTGGCATTAAACCCAGGGCCTTGTGCATGGTAGGTAGTGCTCTACTATTAAGCAACACTCCCCAGCTACATGGAGTGGACTTCCTTCCTTCCTTTCTTCCTTCCTTCCTTCCTTCCTTCCTTCCTTCCTTCCTTCCTTCCTTCCTTTTCTTTTAAGTAATTGCTTTGAGGTAGCTGTCATTCTAAAGTGCTGCCTTTTTCAGGAAGCATGTTTGTAATAAAGAATATAACTTAGGTTTACAGTATAAACACTTGCCAGGACTTATAAGATGGCTCCCTGGGTAAAGCAAGACTGAGGACCTGAGTGTGACATCTGGGACACACAGAGTGGAAGAAGGGAACTGACTACCTCAAGTTGTCCTCTAGCTCCACATGCATTGGTGGCACACATCAAATAAACAAAAGTGTAACCATTGTTTAAATAAAAACTTGCAACAGTGTAGTTATTCACTGTCATCAGCATCTAGAAAGGTTTTTTTGTTTACTTAGTGGTATGGCACAGGTCTGGAGGTCTGAGGACAATTGGGAGAGGTGGTTCTCTTCTTCCATTGTGTGGGTCCAGGTATCAACCTCAGGTCATCTGGCAGAGTCAGCTGCCTTCACCCTGAGCCACTGCACCAGCCTGACTAAATTTGTTAACTTGCTGTTTACCAGGCCATATACTGAACTAGGGACCAAAAAATAGTTTCCTGTGTTTGGAGGTATTTCATGGTATTCTAACTTGGTAGATAAAGTGGTCCATGAGCGTACAGAAAAGGACTGGGTGGGGTGCTAAGGAAAACATTTGAAAAGTAGAGTCTATGAATCAAAAGAAGATAGAGCTGATGGGGGACAGGTTTCAGTTACTAGCTCACTCGGGAGGCCAGATCTGGGGTTGGAGATAACTCAGGGAAATGAAGGGAGAGCTGAGAAGAGAGCCGAAGATGTAGCTGTGACCACACTAACACACGGGGAGGACATAAACAGAATGAGCAAAATGAATAGTGGTCAAGGCAGCTCCGATGAAGGTAAGGGAGCACCTGTTAGATAGTCCATCGAATCCCAGATCAGTCCATTCCAGCCAAACAAGCCGTCTGGAGTTGGTGCAGCGGGCCTGAGCCAGAGAGGCGTACAGTTGATTTTGTAGTTGCTGAAAAGGTGCACACACACCCTCCAGGCAGTTTTGAGTAATAGCCAAGTCACCTAGTTAAATGTGTAAAAAGATGACTGAATTGTGTCTAATGAGTTTATGTAGCACACTTTCATTATCCTACAAGATTGTGTATTCCATAGGTGTTAAGAACACTTTGTTGACCTTTCCAGAAATGAAAGAGTCCAAAGTCATAACACTTAGCTGGTAAAACAAGTTTTAAAAATTTGTAATTGTAATGAATTTAACTAAAACCAAGTTAAAAAATTAGTAATAATGTAAAAATGCTGAAGGCCATTTGGAAAATTTCACAATTAACACATGTGTAAAATGTGGCAGGTCTGCTCTCAGTTTCTATTCTTTCGTATCTCTGCATGTGTTAACAGCACAGCGGTGAGAGAAGAGGTGTTGTTGTTTGGTGATTTTTGAGGGAGAATATCACTTACGGTGAGATATTTTGTCTATAGATTTGTTTATTCTATGGGATTCTTCTACTTTTTCCAACTTGAGTAATCATTTGATTCTTTATTGGAAATAATACAGACATTTTTGAAAAAATATTAATGAATATATTTCTGAATATGAAATATGAAATACTGCAAAGTTGAGAATGTTCCCTAAATTTCTCTAACTTTTTAATTGTAACCTATTTTACAGGAATTCGTTTGTACTTGATATTTTTATGATGGTGAGTTTTTAGGTGTTATTTTCAGGGATATAGTTTGTGTTTTACACTAGCGTGAGTGCTGTTTACATGGTGGTTCAGAATATTCTAGTTGATGTTTCTAAAGTGTTTCCTGGAATGTTTCACCGCTAATCTGCTTAGTCCTTGTTAGTGAGTCCAGCTACTCCACCAGCTACTCCTGCAGCTACTTTACCAGCTACTCCTTCTTCTGTAGTATTAAAATACTACAGCAATTGCATTCTCTAGGTGGATGTTGAGTCTAATGTAGAAAGAGTGTTTCTACAAGGAGAAATATGAGATTAAGGCATTTCTGCTCCACTGATAATCTTTAGCTTAATTTCCTGCAGCTTGCTGAGAACCAGGAAGTAAGAACAGAAGTCTCTCAGCTTGTTTATGTCTCTTGTTCCAGGGTGTGTGTTCATACAATCCTACCAAAAGTTGGAACAGATGATACAGTATTTGGGCAGGTTGTTGAAGCCTGGGGACCAGCTACCCTTAAGTTTTATTTCTGCAAGTGAGAAACGATAAATTTGATGATACAATTGTGAAAGATTCATTGTACAGTCAAAATGCTTGTCATCGCCCTAGGCTATTTATAGTCTTCATTTAATAAATTTGATAGAACTCGACTAATATTTAAACAAACAGTAGCCGGGTACTCAGATACTTGCACACATTACATTTTTAAAATCTTAATTTCTAGCTTTGTGAAGTGTTCACTCCTAAAGTCAAATTATGTATAGTGTTACCATGACAAAATAACATATTCCCTCCCTCCACATCTTGGCCTTTCCGCAGTCTTTACCAGGTAGAGATTGCCTGCAAGGTCAACTTTGCAGGCAAGCTGTCACTCAGGTTGTCATTCTTGGCTTCTATTTATGCATTCTTGTTGCTTTTCTGAGACATGCATCCCAGCTGCATCCCCTCCCCCCAAACATACACGAGTGAATGAATGAATTCACTCAACAAATAACTTCTCCAGTATCCAGGTCCTGAGGGCACACTAGTGAACAAGAAAAGACCACTGCTCTTGTGTTAATTATATTCTAGTAAGGGGATATGAATGTGTTTTTTTTTTTTGTTTGTTTGTTTGTTTGTTTGTTTAAATATACTCATGGTAATTTTAGGTGTAGCAAATTCAGTGGGTGGAACTAACAGACTTTGGGATAGAGTGATTGTCTTCATCCCAAAAAAGTGTTTTGGTTTTGTATCTGTGACCAGTAAGCATTCTCAGGGCCTCGGCTGTGTTAATGGTTAGGCCGTCCTTGTACTTGAAGGCCTAGAAGAGCCGAGATTGGGCTGCAGGAGGGAGCTCATTCTAGCAAGTGCAAAGAAAAGAGTGGCAGGAGAGTTTCAGGGTGCTCACCGTTGATCACCCTGTGTTAAAGTGAGTGGGTGTCTTTGACCTAGGAGCTGAAGAGGCTTGTACAGTTGTCCCAATTGTGATGGTGATGAGTATAAAGATGTGCATTGATGGCACCTGTGACTTAGTAATTGGATATGGGGAGAAGGGAAGAGGTGGTCTCAAGTGTGACTCTAGCCTTGACTTAGAGTAGAAAATGAAGGGCTTGGTATTGAGTATTAAAAAATCCCTGTTAGCCATCTAAAGAAAGATGGTAAGTAGGCACATGGGCCAACTTGTGCCAAGTCCAAACTCTTTAGAGCTTGGAATAGCAATTGGGAATCCTTAGCATCAATATATAGATTTCTTTTAAAGTCATGAGAAGGGTGTCATGGAGAAGAAAGGCCTTTGGTCCATACTCCTTGAGAGATGGTTGATAGAAAGGTTTAGGCCTGAGTAGGGAGGGATGGTAATCTAAAGGTGAATGCTGTGCTCGTCCTTACTCAGAAACAAACTTGATTTGTGTTCATTTGCTTAAGGTCAGTGAAGGGTTTGTAGTTACTACTGTGGTCAGTGCTGATTTGGCCTGAACTCAATGGTTTTGATGAACAGCAGTTCAGTTTGTATGGCTGTCTGATGTAATTTAGCATCCATTTATTAATTTTCACAATAACCAAAAGTTTTCCTTCACTCTTCCTTTTGGGACCCATACAGTTTTCTTTAAATGGTAGAAGTGGAAAAAAAATATGTTAAAGAACTCTTAACCCAGCATTTGTAAAGAAAAAGCTGGGAAGGTAGGCATCAAAGTATTAGCAGTAATCATTCCTAAGAAATAACATATTTGGTTTTATATAAAAATGCTGTCCACATTAGGGTTATAGTTGTAATCTTGCAAAAGCAAAATACAGTTGTCAATAAATAAGTCAGTATTCTTTTTTAAAAAGTAAAGCATAAGCCAGGCATGGTGGCATTTGCTGCTAATACAAATACTTGGGAGGCTGAGGAAAGAGTGTAAATTTGAGGCCAACCTGACTCAGCAATTCCCAAAAGTAAAATACATACTAATTATCTTTTAGAAGTTGGTTTTACTCTGCAATTTAGTAAGTAATGATAATAATATATTTATGATTTTATATTGAACACATTTTACTTTTTAGATTATCTAATCTTTAGAGTATTAATGGTAAGATAAATATAAAATATTACTCAACTCAACTAGGAAGACTAATGCTTGATGATTATATGGTTCAACATATCTGAAAGTTACCCCTTCTCAGAGGACTACCCAGCCCTTTGTTTAGATGACACAGGGCAAATTCCAAATGGGGTCCAGATGGAACACACAGGAGCTGCGAACCCAAGCTGGCCAAAGGTCAGTTGACTGCCTGTAACAGTGCCAGCTTGTCTTTGGCCTTTAGGTAGCCATGTGTAATCTGGTGAAGGCATTTAAAAAGACACAAAGAATGTGGCTTTAAGAAACTGTTGACTGCATGTTTCACAAAACCTAATCCTGTATTTGATACTAAAATCAAATTATGATTTTCTGAAATCTGACTTTTAGTTGAATTTGAACTCGGTTTCATAGTAAGTTATTAAAATATGCCTTTAAAATTTTTATCTTGAATAGAGCTTTTAAATGGCATTGTATTATACATAATATTTGATGTAAAATAGCATTTCTTTTGTTCTGATAGCTTGCATTGAAAGGCTCGAGCTACAGTGGACTACTTGAACGACATCATATTCACACCAAAAATGTAGAACATATAGTAGATAGTTTACGGTAAGTTTGTGGGACGGGGTCTTAGATGGGATTTTATAGTCAGGATTTCTGATCTTATTTTGTACTAGCAGCTAATTCTTAGAATTTTTGTAAAATTTGCCACATTTTCAGAAGATTATATTGAGGTTAAAAGACTTGACTTTTTCATTTTCAAAGGAAATTTTTATTTTACTCTTAAAAGTCAGGTATTTCCAGTAAGTCTGTCTACTAGAGAAGTGCCATTACTACAATTAATTCCGTACACAGCATGCTTCCTCTCTGTGTGTAAAGTGCTATTTCTTGGACCAGAGTCATAGATACAAGTGTTCATGAAAGTATTCCTTGTGTATAAACATGGCCATTGTGGAATCTTCAGTTGCAGCTGAATAAGTTTAAGTGACTATAAAAGAGGAATCTAAGAAAACGCTAATTACCAAGTATTTTTTAGTCTCTGCCACTCCATGAATATTTGTTGAATTTCAGGCAATAGCTATTTGGCTGTATAATGAATGCATAAGTTTTATGTAATGAATATGAAACATTTTTACATCAAATTTCATCATCAGAAACAGAGGAAAGTAATACTGACCAATCAGTATTGCTGGAGTGATTCTAAAATGTGTTTTAATGCACATGGAGATTTGGTTGTCAACTTTTATTCATTTGTCGTAGCTAATGGCTACATAAGCCAACTTTACAAACTACACCTTAATTTGTTTTTATGGCAAAGATTTTTACCTTTTCTTGCTTTTCTTTCTGGTGATAATCTGCCTCTTGAAAAACGTTCGTGTCTTAGCTATGTCACCCGTGGAAAACGTGTGTAACTTCTTATCCTAGGGACGAAGGGATTGAGGTTCGCCTAGTAAAACGGAGGGAGTATAATGAAGAAACTGTTCGATGGGCAGATGCTGTCATAGCAGCAGGAGGTAACTGCGCCCTGGAGACCAGGCGCTGGGATGTGGGGTCTTTTCAGTGAGTGCTATCTCCACAGACCTGGATTCAGCTATTTTGAATCCTTCAAGTCCTGCAAGACAGGTTTTTTGTTTTTTTTTTTTTTTGTCTATTGAGTTTTTTTTTTGTAACATTAGTTAATTTAGAATTCTTGATGTTGTGAGGTTCTCTGTGTTCTTTAATGTAGATTTACAGGTCATCTTCAGATTCAAAAGATGATTTGCTAAGTGTATTTTTAGTTTAATTACAGCAGTCTTAATAAAGAGCCAATTGTGATAACTTATTGAGGTTATTATTTGACCCCAGTATACCAACATGTACTTTTTCTTGATTTTTGCTATTAGTGGCCTTTTTATTCCACTTTAAATTAAAAGTAGTTGTCGAGAGAATATATTAAAGTAGGACATAGTTGGATATGTTTTCACTAATATATCATAAATCTATGGATTGGTTTTATAGGTCATGGAAGGAGATGTTTGGGATTAGAACAATGAAGTCCAGTTGGGTGGTATATTGTCATTTAATGGGTTGTTGAGATGAGAAATTTTGCCAGCCACTCTAATGTGCAGGATAGCCTGTAGGACAGCCTTCCAATGTAAACACTTTTTTTTTTTATTTGTTTTGCCAGTCTTGGCACTGTTGAAATCCTGAATCATTGCAACCAGCACAACACAGTGCAATAAGCACAGCACGGTATAACAGGCACAGTACAACAGGGTCAGCATAGCACAGTACAGCAGGCATAGCACAGTACAGCAGGCATAGCACAGTACAGCAGGCCCAGCATAGGCCCAGCACTGTGCAACAGGCATAGCTTAGTACAAAAGGCATAGCATAATGCAACAGTCATAGCTCAATGCAGCAGGCATAGTACAACATGCTCAATACAATACAACAGGCACAGTACAACAGGGTCAGCATAGTACAACAGGCATAGCACAGTACAACAGGCCTAGTACAACTGACTCAGCACAGTATATTGGGGTCAGCATAATACAACAGGCATAGCACAGTACAACAGGGTCAGCATAGTACAACAGACTCAGGCACAATACAACAGGCACAGTACAACAAGCGTAATACAATGTAGCAGATTCAGCATAGTGCAGCAGGCTCAACCCAGTACAACAGGCAAACCACAATGCAAAGATGTAGTAGGTGGAGGGGAAGCTATAAGTCAATCGGCTAGGAGAGTGTGGTTGTTAAAATTATAGTTTTCAAAATAATGTTAAAACTGCTTTGTAAGACAAGTCTGGTTGTGTCTCGCACTCTGTTAGGTGATGGCACGATGCTTCTGGCAGCCAGTAAAGTTTTGGACAGACTTAAACCTGTCATTGGGGTCAACACTGATCCAGAACGGTAAGCGAGAACATGTTTATTTTGTGTCTGGCTTGTAAGACTAATTTTTAAATACTCTGTGCAACTATTTCTGCTTCGTTTTGTGTGTTGCCTATTTTTGATGACTTGTACTTTGAATCTATTCTATTCTCTGTGTAGTCATGGTATGGGGCTCTGTTGCTTCAAGGATTTTACCATAGTGCATGATGTTAAAGTAAAAGCATCTTTGTTCCTGGTACTGTGAACATCAGGACATGTTCCAAAAACAAGTCAATGACAAAATGTGCAGTTGGCCAAGTGATTGATATCTGAGACCCTTGGATGCCTGAGTTCTCTGTTACATTTGTGTCAGTCAGGCCTGGAGGCAATCTCTACATTGGCTTCATTTGTCTGAAAGCTTTCGTTTTCCTTTCCCAGCTTTATGGATATTTATGTTTTTCTTTATTCTAGCCACTAAGAGCCATGATCCTAAGTGGACTTTATAAATTCTCATTTCTAGGAGCACACTCTCTCCTTAATGTCAGTCTTATCCCCTCACAGATCTGCCCTTTAGTATTCGGTGTCCAGGTCCCCTCTATTTCCTTCGTCTTGTGTATTTCTTTGATGGCTGCATAGATGTTTTAAAATAACTATCTTCCTGTTCAATTCTAGATCTGTTTGTCATCTTTTCATTCCTATAATAGGCTTGAAAACAAATCACCAAAAAAAAAAAAAAAATCTTAGAAACTTGGGCTTGCTAGTACTTCCAACATAGAGTGTTAACCACTCACAGGGATCTTTAGACTTAGCCTTCTCATCTCAGCCTCTACCCAAGCCCCCCAGCCCACCACTCAGGAGGGCCTGCTTTCTTTTTTTTGTCTGCATCCTGTTCTCCCTTGAGTGAGCCCTCCCCAAATCACAGGAGATGAAGGTAGGAGATCTCGTCCTGTCACTGGCTCCCTTTCCTCTGTGATCCCTCTCGGCCCGCACTCTCACCCAGGGCTGTGCCTGTCCTGCTGCTTTGAGCCCAAACATAGCTTGTGTCCTCACTTTCCAGCTCTAAACCTTTGAGCCTTTTCTGGATTTGTCCTCAACAAGTGCACTGATACTGTTTAAGAGACCAGCGACACTTGAACCAAGCAGACACTGGGTTTTAAGCCTAGCGGTTGTAAGATTCTTTCCTTTCTGCCTCTGATTTCATCTTGGTGACTGTTTCTTTACAGGAACTTAGTTTTCATCACTCTTCTCTAATGCCCTTTCACAAATTGTTCTTTGTATTCTTTTGTCCTTCATTGTCTAGAGCATCCCCTGCTTCCATCCTCATCACTAGTACCCCACTGCAGTCAGAGGTGCTTCATACTGTCTCAGAGCCTTGCAGTGGTGCCCCATCCCACCAAGTAAGTCTAACTCTTCACTGTGATGAGCAGGGCAACTCACCCTACCTTTCCTTGGATTTATTTTATTTTATTTTATTTTATTTTTAGCACTTAGATCCTTTATCTTAGGAAATGGTCCATAGGTGGTCACCTTCACTGAATCACAAGACTTCATTATCTGCTGGTTTCTATTTTCTGTCCTAATTTCCCATTATTGTTGTTTCTCTTTTTCATGCTGTTCTAGCAAACTGGCTTTTCTTCAGCTGTATTAAAAAAACAGCTTGTTGTCTACAAATGGTCATTGCTTTTCTCTTTTGCTTCATTCCTGATTAATGGAACCATTACCTGTGATAGAGTTGTGACTACTTCCTTATCTTCTCATCACACTGCTAATAAATTCTAAGAATTTTGCCTTTGATTCTTCCTCTCAAAAAATTGTAGATGAATTCTTTGAAAATGTTATACTGTGAGTTTTTATCATGTTCTCAATAACTCCTTTCGTATCTACCTTCACCTCTCGCCACTCCCTCAACAACTCTATTTTTTTGTTTTTATAAAAACCCATTTACTTCATATGTGCTGTTCCTGTACTTCTGGATATGGGGCTGTCCACTGGAGTGTGGTTGACCCACCAAGAGCCACACACTAATAGAAAACTGACTGCTTTCCCCAGAAGCTGTCAACACTCCATAGCTCTGTGTTAGAGCCCTCTCACTCCATGCCAGAGAGACTGACTTGATTGTGTGCAGGCCTTGTCCGCAATGTGCCATGTCCACAAGACACTGTTGAGTCCATCTCTTAGGAGTTTCACTACCACTAAACATAGCTCAGGCCTTCCTTCATAGGCTGTTGTTGAAAATATTTCAGTAACCAAGTGTTCAGATATAGAAGCCTGTGGGGAACATTTTACACATAACTCATGGTCTTTTTTCTAAAGTGCAATTCTGATTATAGTTATTCCTTAATTAAAATCTTTTACAATTTTCCCATGATCTTCAAGATACATTGTAAATCCCTTAGCTAATATATACATTTTTTTCCCATCTGTTGCTTCTCTGCCCTTCTAGTTTCATCTATCCTATACTCACAGGCACTGTATAATCTTCAGTTGAAAAAAAATGCATGTGTGGATTGAAACTTCCAGGAGCAGCCCAGAATCTTTGTAAAAGGCTCAGTGTGAATGCTAACCGTGTGAGCATCTGTTCACACCTTGGTTGGAAACTCACTCAGGCGAGAGCTTTGGCTCTGGCCAGAGGCTTTGTTGATGTATGAGATAGCAGATGATGAGAGAGTTCTCCAGAAGGCCCGTGCTATTTTCATGCTTCTTGTGCTCTTCTGCCAAGAGTGTGCTTGTGTTTGTGCCAGGCTTACCCGTGGCCGTTCCCCCCAAGATGGAGTCTAAAAATGTACTGCTGTGGTTCTTCCTTCTTCAGGCTTCAGTGGCCTCCCAGCTCCCTTCACAGACGGCACCTGACCAGCCTCTTCCTGTTCTTTCCTGCCTGTCTCTGCTGGTACACGGTGAATTCTTTTGCGTATACGACCTTGAGTCCTAACATCTCTAACATCAGCATCAGGTTTATACATAACATTCAGGAAATGTCTGAAGAGTGAATGTAATTGATATCAGGGAGCAGCCTAGGACTTCAAGTAGATCATTAGTTTAGTAATTAACTTTTGATTCCTTCAGTGTTGGTGCATGTGGGTTTTAGAAATTCTTAGTAGCCTGTTTTTTATATCATTAAGATAAGAGGTTGTTAACTTGAGTGATTTTATGGTGGATTGTATTTTCTTTAAAAAGCTGGCTGTAAGTCATAAGTGTGTCAGATTTTGAGGCCGTAGATTTGCCTATGGAGGCAAATAGAAAATAGAGAAAAGGGAGAGCTGTATCAGTACCTTGTCATGAGGTCAAAGGTCATCTAGGGCTGCAGGCATTTAAGGATTTCATTTGGGCTGGAATATCGGCATAACGATGGCTCATTCACATGGACTCAATCTGAATTAAAAATAGCATTCTGTTGTTCTCTTCTGTTGTCCACACTCACTCTGCTGAGCCTGGTAAACAGTTAGCCTTGGGAAGCCATATTATTCAGTCTCATTACTATCCTAATGTTTCCTCCCCTCTGTGGCTTCCATCTTGCTCTCTATGTTCAGTCAGGGTGGCCATAGTGGCCAGTGAAATGGTGTGACATTGAAAATTCTAAGCTGTGTTCTAAGTGATATATTGCAGCTTCTGTGTTGGATTGTTCTTGAACTGTTCAGCTACCACAATAGTGAGATGAGTATAGTTACCCTGTGAGGAAAGGCTCCCATCAGAGGAATGGAGACCTCCTGCTTGTAGCTGCCACTACAATCTGGGAAATGGAACTAATAGCCCGAGTCAGGCCTTCAGATAATACCTGGGGCCCAAGCTGAAGTCTTCGTCTGTGACCTCACAAGAGAGTGTGGCTTTCTGTGAACAGTAGTTTAGACTTGTACTTGATGTAAGGAGTTGCTTTCTGTCAAATGACTGTGTTACCTTTTATATAGTAAATGTCATGTAAATTAGTGGATATAAACATTTTAAAAGCCTGGAGGACAGATATTGTTCTAGTGGCCCAGGTTTACAACCTCAGCACCCAGACTTGGTAAGCAGTCTGCGATACTCTGTCTCAAAAACAAAACAAACAAGAAAAGCATACTCCCCAACCAAAACAACCCCCAATAACAAAAAGTTAAAAAAATGAAGTTCTGCTATTGACCTCTGTAGATAAATTGCATAACTGTACTTTGCAAAAACTTCTTTTTTTGACCATTAATTTATATTTTATAATTTTTTTTTGCAAGACTTTTTGCAAGGTCTACTCATCCAATCCTTCAAGACTAGAGCACTTTGGAATTTTGATAGTGAAAATTTCTGAATATCATTAGGAGTCACATCTTGTCCTGTAGCAACTTAAAAGGAATCTTACCATTTTGTCATTTTCAGTTTTTTTTTGTTTTATAGATTTTATTGTGTTTTTGACTATGCACATGTGTATGTGTGTCTGTGTGGGATGTAGTCATGTGAGTTCACAGCCATCAGAATCAGAAAAGTTATCAGGTCCCCTGGAACTAGAATTACAGATGGTTGTGAGCCATGTGGCATGGTGCTGGGGACTGAATTCTGGTCCTCTGCAAGAGCAGGACATACTCTTAACCACAGAGCCACCTCTCCAGCTTTGTGAGTACTCATTGTCATTTGTCTTCCACATTAATCTGTGAATTCCCTGAAGTTCATCTTTAATAATTTTTGAGATTATTGAAAGGTTACACTGGGATAAGCTTTCTCAATTCTTTTGCTTAAGTGGTTCAAAATGTTTTCACATTTTGATTTCACACATTTCACAATTTGATCTTTAGAATAACCTTGGATGGTTGGTGTTCATCACAACTTTAGCAATAAGGAAACAATCCTAAAGTGACTTATGTGATATTAATAGTTAAGTAATTTAGAGGTAAGTTGACAAGGTGATTAGTAGCTGAATTTTGCTATTATTTTTAGTTTTATCAGTGTGGAGATATAGGTATAATTCTGTTTTATTAAAGCTGGTTGTGGACTATGATTTGTTTAGTTTTTTTGTTGTTGTTGTTGTTATTGAACGTACAGACAATTTGTGACAGAAATGAAGTGTAGGATTGAAATTTAGAAAAATTTTTCTCTGATTTTTGTAGTTTAGTGAGTGATGCTCTGAATTTTTTTCTCCTCTACCCATTTTCCTCCACCCTTTGTACCACCTGAACATCCCGTGACATCCCAGGTCTGAAGGTCATTTATGTCTGCCTGTTCGATACACACATTCCTTCCCTGAAGCCTTGCAGAAGTTCTCTCGTGGTGAGTTCAGGTAGGAAGTTCTAATTCTCTTGTTTGGTTCTTTAGTAAATATGTGCTATTAATGCTGTTCAAAAGGAGGAGAGGCAGACAAACCAGGGCACTTCACTGATCGCTACGAAAGTAGCCGTAGAAAATGCAAGGAGTCAGTCACAGAGCTCTCCTACCTTCTCCTGTCCAGTAGAACAAAGTAGAGAAAGTGTGACAAGTGTTCCTTGGCCTATAAATTTACAAAATGATGATTTTACTCCTTCAGCCAGAGTGAGGTTGTCTCTCCGTTTTTTAGTCTTATTATTAATACATGTTCTTAGCATTTGGTAGAAAGATAGTTAAAGCTGTTTGGTAAAATTGAAGATTCCGTTTTATATTTGTACTTTTAACTGGTAATGAATGGATGTTTATGGGTTTAATCATCCTGGCTGTACTTCCTAGTATCTTTGTCTTTTCTATATACATTTTTTCAGCAGTGTGATGGGATTTTTAAAAACATATTTCTCTGAGCTGGAGAGGTGATCAGTGGGTGGGAGTGTTGTGAAAGCACGGGAACCACATTTTGAATTCTCAGCACCCACTTTTACTGAGTTATCGTTTATGTCTTTAGGAGTAGTAGGTAGCTTACATTTGTCATTTCTTAATCTCTTTTCCTAAAGTGTTTAATCACCATTGCCGGGCAGTGGTGGCGCCCATCTTTAATCCCGGCGCCCAGGAGTCAGAGGCAGGTGGATCTCTGTGAGTTCAAGGCCACCCTGGTCTACAGAGCCAAGTTCCAGGACAGCCAGGGCTACACAGAGAAACTCTGTCTCGAAAAACAACAACAACAAAACCAAAGCAACAACAAAATAAATCACCATTTTGAAGTTTTAGGGTACATTCATCTAATACATTCTCCTTAGCTGGGTACTGTTTGCCTTCTGTGATAGACTTTGCTGAGCAAACATACGCATATGTCCACCTCTTATGGCTTTAATGGTTTATTATTAAGATTTTAATTCAGATTACCTTGTAGGTTTTAGATAAGCTTCTTAGACATGACCAGCAACTGAAAAGAGAAGTAAACATCCATATAAACCTTTCAATGGGGACCTGTGGGCTTCAGAAATTTGTTCTGAAGTTACTCATGGGATAATTAGCTCCCTCCCCCACTTTTGGCTGGGTCTCATTATATAGATCTGGCTGTCCTGGAGCTAGCCTTGTAGACTAGGTTGGTCTGGAACTCAGAGTTCTGTCTGCTTCTATCTCTCCCTGTGCTGGTATTAAAGACATATATATGCCACTAAGCTCAGCCTATATAGCTTTCATATACATTTTCATATACATTTTCAATTTGCTGAGGTTATTGTAATGTCTAACCCATACTTCAGTGTATTTATTGTAACTTCCCTTTCTTCATGTTCAGGTGGCTGTGGAGACAGCGAATCAGGTTATATCTGGAAGGGACTGGCATAAACCCCACTCCTGTGGACCTTCACGAACAGCAGCTGAGTTTGAATCAGCACAGCAGAGCCTTCAACATCGAAAGAGCTGATGATGAAAGTAGGTGACCTGTACATACCTTTGGGCGGGCGCTATGTAACTTCTAAGGCTTTGAAACAATAATTTACATTTTAATTTGCTTTTAGTGCCACTAGTAACTCTTAAAAAATACTTTTTGCTGGCTTAAATTTTTGATGTTGTTCTTATAATTAGAATCTAAAGAAGCAAAACATGTTTCAAGATGAACTGTCTCTAGGACAGGTTTGAAAACTGGTTGATTAGGGATAAATTATTTAATGCCCAGCAGAACAGTTGATACTTAGGGAAAGACCATTGACAAATCAAAAGAAAGCAGGAGAGAGCAAATGAGCTGATCTGTGGGAGATCTCATAAGTATGTGTTTCTGTAGTTATGAGTGTACTTAACTCTCACTCTTCGTGTATTTGACTGTATTTAGTGTAGTTGTTGATTGAAACCTTTCTTTGTTGGAAGATTTTGCATCCAGCTTTGAGATTTCTGTTTCAGGTTGATGAAGGAGAATCCTGGCAGATGGAAATTTACAACTGTTCTGTATGAGGGTTAAAGTGAATATTCATCTTTGCTCCAATTTATGGATTTTTATTTTGTCATGTTTTCTTATTACTTCCAGTAACTCTGAAACCTACATGGTGCAAAAAAATCACAAAAGAAATATTCGCAGACTGTTATAAAAAGATTCTTCTCCTTGAAAAATTTCTGGGTAAACCTCAGAATGTTAACCCCCACCACTATATCCCCTTTCTGCTGGGTCCCAGTGTTGCTTTGTTTTTCTAGCATGTCTCTAAGGTCTGAGTTCATGGCATGTTGGAAAGATTCTCTTTCCCTTTAAAAAAAATCATTTGCTTTTATAATTCTTTTGAAGAATTATGTGCACATGAATTCCTATTACCAGTTTTAAAACTCTTTAGTAATTATTAAATAAGATGTAATTGACATAGCTAGAGATTTCATTTTATCCTTCACTAAAATAAGCTTCTCCTGGCCTGGGGAGATGGCCCAGTGGATGAAGCACTTTTGTTCAAGTGTGAGGAATGGCATTTGGATTCCTAGAACTATGTGACACCCACTCTGACTCCAGCACCCAGAGTAGAGGCAGGGTTCCTAGAGCAAGCTTACTATCAACTCTCTGGGCTAGTAAGCCAGCTCTGAGATCTCACCTCAATCAGTGAAGTGGAGAGAGACCAAGGGAGACACTGAACTGTCAAACATGGGGCCTCTACGTGCTCATTCACGGGCACGCGTGTGCACTTGCACCTGCATGTACACCGGAGCTGTGTACACACTTGGAAGCACACCACACCATGAAAAACATCAGTATCTTCAAAAGATGGTGATCACTTCTTTTCATCAATAGCTATATCTTCTGAGAGATGTAAAAAGTCATACAGAGATCATACCTAGAAACGAGTTGTTCACACTAAGTTGGGGTTCAGTATCTTGGATGAACATCTGAAAAATGTCAGGGCTGGGGAAGCAACAAAAACGTTTGCTGAAGTAAAGAAATCAAAAAAAAAAAAAGTCTCAGAATTTTAGGCAATAATCTGAATTGAAAGAACTCAAAAGTCTTTATTGTAAGTAGCCATAGTAAATCCCCAAACCCAATGTGTGTCAGAAGACTGAGTGAGATTTCCAGGAGTGGAGGGAGCGCTGATATAGCTCTGTGTATAAAGGATATGGAATCAGGATAGTTTCAGGTTTGTCAGTAGCAGCATCGGGCCCTGATACCACTATAATTATATAACTGTCACTGTTAGGATTGACAGCATGGTGTTTACTATGTCAAGGGACTATTTTAGAGGGGTTTTTCGTAGAATTTATTTTTAATAGATGTATTTCTAAGAAAATTGAGAGCCATTTCAAGGTGTGTGTTTGATGTCCAACTTACGTCCTCTTTGTTAGCAGGAAACACTGCCTAGAAAAATTGCATAGGTTTGATATTATAAATATAAATAGTGATTTAGCTTTTTAGTTCAGAGCAAGACTAGTGAAAACACCTTTACATTTTCAAACTTAAATGATGCAACTTTGAACATTTTTGCCTTATGTAGTGTGACTTGTCCTTGCCTAGGTTTCTTGTTACACATTACACACACACACACACACACACACACACACACACACACACACACACACACACAGTGTATCTTCAAAGGGGAAGGTGGGTTGATTTGTTTTTCTTTTTAAGTTTTAAATATATCAGTTAATAATTATTTGCAAGGCCAATTATATTCATTTGGGGACATGAATTAGTTTGATAAATAGCATCAGATCTGTCATGGCTTTATGTAGCATATATATCATTTCTAGTTCTTCTCACTGTACAAGGAGTGATCAGGCAGCCCAGGATTCTCCCATATTCTAAGAGCTTCTACTATATTTCAAGGCCTTTGTGTTTTCCACTTGATCTCTTGCATTTTTGTGGGAAGAATCCAGAGAACATGGAGGATCTTAAGGAAGCTGTAGAAGCTAGTCCTTGCTTCTCATTGCTTCTGACCGCCTTGCAGTTAGAGGGCTGTACCTAGTGTGGTGGACCTGGAACTAGGCTGGTAATAAGGTGACGTGAGAGGATTGCACAGGATAGCCATCTCTGCTACTAGTTTTAACAGTTGTGTATTTGTGTCAATTGTGACTTTGTAATTGATTGGGTTGAATAGAAAATTAACTGATACTCAGTTTATATTTTTGTATCCTTATATACTATATATCTTTATATATAATGTATGGTTATATAAATATTTAATATATTTATATAGAGTCAAATTATAAGTGTAGTTTTAACTGCTTAAGAGTTGGTAGTCATTTAGCTTGAAAAATAAAAGCATATGGCTGGGCGTTGGTGGCACATGCCTTTCAAGCACTAGGGAGGCAGAGGCAGGCGGGGCTCTGTGGGGTTGTGTTTAACCTTGGATACAGAGGTTCAGGAAAGGCAGGGGGAAAAAAAAAAAACCCCTCTCCCAAAAAAACAAAAAAAAAAAAAAAAAAAAAAAAGCATATGATTAAAGAAATTTTATCTGCTTCTCTACTTGACAAAAAAATTTAAAATGAAATCCAACAAGTACAGATATTTAAAGATGTGATGTAGCAGCCGAGTGTAGTAGCATATGTCTTTTAATCTCAACATGTGGGAGCAGAGGCAGTTGGATCTCTCTGAGTCTGAGTTTGAGGCCATTGTGGTCTAGAAAGTGAATCCTAGAAGAACCAGAGCTATATAAAAGAGAAACCCTGTCTCCAAAACAAAACAGAATACCCCCTCCCCCCCAAAAAAAAACCCAAACATGGTATGGAGAGAAAAATAGAAACAGAGGTAGAAAGTTCACTCTATATAAAAGTACATGGTGGCAAGAGTTCATGTTTATTAATAATATTTGCTAAACATCTGCTGTATTTGTGAGGAATCCATGGGGATGAAGATCTAAAAATTCTACTAATAATTCATTTATTTAAGGAAAAATAATCTAAACAATAAGTTTTTAACATTGTATATTTGTCTAACTGTCCAATATGAGATTGCCTTGAACCAAATTGGGATAATATCAAAATAAACTGAATTATGGCTTTGAATGCAATAAAGTGTAGTTAAACACAGCACTTGTATATAGCTCTTTGACCAGGTATAGTTGTGTGTGTCCCTGCATTCTCAGTCCTCAGTGTGTCAAATTCTTTCTGTCGAGCTGACAAAGCAGGCAAATATCAACTATTCAAAGAACTCGTGGTACTGTAATGGGAACCCTTTACAGCTGAAAGAATAGTTCAGTCCCTTTAGGAGGTTAAAATTCAGGAGGAATGAGAAAAATACTGTATTTGACATAATAAGCATGTATGAAGATGTATGTAATGAGGTTAGAAGTCAGAGGTCACATTGGCGACAGTGTGTATTCAGTGTCTAATGTGAGTTAGTTCTCTAGTCTATGTAATGCATTACTCCAATCTTTAGCATTGCAGGCATACATATTTATAAGCTCACAGGTTGTGAAGCTCGGAATCCAGAAACATCTTAACTGTTAGTTCTAGTTTAGGGTTCTTCAGGAGGTGACAATCAAGCTGTCAAGCTGAATAACAATATTTGAAGACCTTCCTGGGCCTAGAGAGTTCACTTGCTGGTTCCCATGTGTTGGTTAACAGAAAGGAGGCTTCATTTCTAGAGTGAGTGAGTGAGTAGTAAGAGGAAAGAGAGACAGAAAGAGAGAGAGGGGGAGAGAGAGAGAGAGTGACAGACAGGAGACAGAGACAGACAGGCATACATAGCAAGACAGAGGAACACAGTGTCTTTTTTGGTTTTTTGAGACAGGGTTTCTCTGTGTAGCTTTGGAGCCTATCCTGGCACTCGCTCTGGAGACCAGGCTGGCCTCGAACTCAAAGAGAGGCGCCTGCCTCTGCCTCCTGAGTGCTGGGATTAAAGGCGTGCGCCACCAACGCCTGGCTGAGCACAGTGTCTTTTATGACTTACTTTTTTCAGAGGTAGGTGCATGATCAGAACATTTATGTTGCCTTCGTTGGAATGTAATCCACCCCTGGTTTGAGGTAATGGACCATGTGAAGGGTGTGAACACTGCGTGTCAGGTAGCTAGAGACTGGAGGCTGCTGCTATAACTGGGATGGACTAAGTAAGTGTTGACTTAGGAGAAAGTGTGAAAGGAAGGGAAAAGTGAACTTTTCCCATGGTGCTTACCCATGGGAGATGCTTGACTTGAGTAGTGCTGCTGCTGATGTGGGGCTGGGGTTGGCATTTCCACCTGAAAATTGATCAGCAATAGAAAGTGAAGGGAGTTCTTTAATGGTGACAAGATCAAGTTTAATTTCCCAACAATAGTGTACTGATGGAGAACACTTACTTAAATGGTGCAGATTAAACAAAAGATGAGGATTTTTACAGATGTGCTAATGTTTTTCTGATTGTCATCCTTAAAAATATTTTTGAGATTTTTTTCTGATGAAAAAAAGTGCTGTTTCCTTTCAGTCTTAAAATTGAGATTAGAACATTTTCCCTTCCCTTTCTTTCCTCCAACCCCTCACATATACCCCTCCTTGTTCTCTTTCAAATGCATGGCTTCATTTTTCATTAATGGCTGTTAGTTACATCATATATGTATATGTATACACACATGTACATTCCTAAGTATAATTGTGTAATGTTACTCACATGTGTGTTTTCAAGGAAGACCATTTGGTAGTGGATAACCCGTTGCTGTTCTTTTCCTTGACAGAGACTATTTGTTTGCTCTCAGCATTCCTTAGTTGCCTGTAGTTCTTTGTATAGGGCTGGGGCTTTGTGGGCTTGTCCTTATCCACCCTGGAATGTTTTTGTTATTGTCCTTGTTTGGTTCATGTTCCTATAATCATGTTAGTGAAACTTTGTAGGTGTAGCTGTGACATTACTAGATCTATCTAGGTTGGTTTCCAATATGAGCCATGCAGGTAACTTGTGCCCTAAATCCAAAATGGTGCTTCAGTCAATTCCTCCTCTAATGCTGACCAGGTAAAATTCAGTTAATATTATAATACTTAAAAAGTTACTTCAAGGATTACAGTTAGAGAGACAGGTCAGATTTGTTGGTATAGGTTAGGTGACTTTAGACTTTATTTTATGACCAATTTAAGATGCTTCTGTGTTATTAAAGAATGCGATGTTTCTAAACTCTGGAGTTTGACGAACTTGTTGTATTTTAAAAGTTCTGAAATTCAAGGAACTGTCTTGGATCTCTCACCTTCTACTGCAGGATCTGAGACATCGGGACCTCAACTTTTGCCAGTGCGAGCCCTCAATGAGGTCTTCATCGGGGAGAGCCTGTCATCCAGGTACCTAGAAGCTTGTGATCGCAAATGTGGAATTCAGTGTTTAAGCATTTCTGGTATTTTTATTTAATTTCTACAGGCTGGTATATAGGAGTAATAATATAAGTAGGAGGAATCAATTATTTAATAAAATTACTTCCAAAGCCCTCATACATGCTGATACGAGGACATAGAACATTGTATGAGGAAAAGCTTGGGAAACTTCACATTGGGCAGTTCCTCAGAGTCCTTACTGCACTGCCTGCCGTTCTTTTCTAAGTGCTCGGGAGGAGAGTGAGGTCCTAGGCGTGCATTTGCAGGTGACACATTTCTTAGGTAGTCTGTATCCACACTTCCCGTCTAAAACTGAGTGTAGTAGCACATTGCTGTACCCCAGCTGCTCAGGAGGCCTCTAACAGTCTTTTTAAAGCCTTGGAGCTTAAGGCCCTGCTTGGGCAGCATAGTGAAAACCTATCTCCCTCCTGCCTCCCCCCTACCCCTTCACAACATAGGGAAAACCTTACACACACATACACATTCATACACATTTTCTCTCCCCTTTCTCACATACATACATACTCTCATATACATGTCTCACATATGTAGCTCTCACATGTTCCTCACACATACACACTTTCTCACACATACACGTCTCTGTCACACACATCTCTCTTACACAGACTCACATACATATACTTTTTCTCTCAGACACTCACATATACATTTCTCCCTTACAACACATATATTTTTCTCCCCTTCTCTCTCAACACCCATAAACACACATACATGCACAAGTGGAGGAAAAATGTCTTTACTTATTAGTGCTTTTAAAGCTGATTTGCTTATTTCTTCTTTTAGCACAGGATCCAATTACGAATCATACACTACATTTTGTTATTGTGGCTTTCTGCTTATAAAATTAATAACAACTGCTCATTTTTGTCATTTGTGGTACTAATGCTTTTGACCTGTCTGGGCCAGTTGGTTGCAGGACACCCTTTATTTTATTTCTTCATAATGTTTGCTGCATAAGCTTCTGATAAGGCATTTTTTGATCATGCTACGTAATTGTTCCGTGTTTAATGTAACCCTAGGGCAATTATATTGACATTTCAAGGTTAATGTCTTTATTAAGAGCTGGAGACACATCTTAGTGCAGAGTATTTTTCCAGCATGTGTAAGTCTCCAGGTTTAATTTCCACAAATGTGCATGCTCACATGTGAGCACACACACACAGATATCACCATTGTTAGCAAAAAATAATTTAATGTAAAAATGTGATACCTAAATATGACAGCTTTGAAATGCCAGCATTTTCTTCCACTCTTGGAAACATGTGGATACTGTCTGTGAAATGACCACCAGAAAGTAATGTCAGTTTCACTGTGGTACGTTGTGCTTGGTTCCCATTGTGTGATTGTATAGATGAGGCACAGAGAGAGACTGCAGGTGAGTTCATGTCCTGCCTACATGCTACCACAATCATGTGACCCTGTGAGTGCTGTATCATTGAATTCCTAGTTGTAATGTATGGATGATTGTTAATTTTCTTTATTGCAAGTTATGTCCTTCCATAAGAAATTTATGATGAGAGATTCGTCATAACTAAAACTGAATATCCTCATTGCAGCTAATACTAAGTAAATAGCTTTATATTATCAAAACAATTGACTTTAAAATGGTGACTAATGAGGCAGAATTATTTGAATAATCCTTTTGAATTATTGTTATTTTGTTGAATATAATATCTATTCAGTAAGGATATTTTTGTGCCTATTACATACCATGTATCACTAGGGATACAAAGATGTGTATGAAAAAGGTTGGTAAAAATGTAAGTTTTAAAAATTTTAGAGTAGTCTTTTAAGAAATAAAATATTTACAGAAGATTAATAACTTAAGTGTAAAATGTATTTATCTTAACATAGGAAACCATATGAGGTATGTGTCCATAGGTTTTATCTCATGCTACCTGTAAGACTTCACACAGTATGGAGATGATCATAGGTTTTGATGTATAGAAGAGGAGGAAAGGATGAGAAAGGCACAGAGAGCATCCATTAAGTTGAAAAGGTTTGATTGTCTGTGTTTCCTATGGGAAACCATCTGTAGCTTTACTTTAATGTTTTATAGAGAAGGTGCCTCTCGCCGAAGGAGCTGCTACCTTTATGGCTGGATACTTTGTATTTACTGAAGAGATAATGTACAAGAGGAGGGAAATTGTGACCAGGAGGCAGATTGGGAGTCAGTGAAGTCTCACAGGGCAATGCCTGCTGCTGCTATTTTGTTCTTTGATGTCTCTCCTTAGATCTTTAGTAAGATAAGCAAGCAGTAGTTCCACTTTGAGGCTGTTGAACACAGTGTAACTATTATAGAGGCTTTAGGGCTTATTTTTAAAAACTGTGACTAGACCCTTAGGCAAAATGCACATGATCACATGAAGTGTCTGCTATCTGTCAAGCTGTGTATATTGTGTTCTATTACTTCATGCTCTGATAGCATCCCCTGAGGAAGGAAGCTATAGTTACAGCAAGAATAGTGAAATTCAGAAGGGTCAGATAAGTTGCATAGGTCATGTAATTATTTAGAACAAAACTGTCATTTGAGCCCATTATTCTCCATCCCAGATAGGGGTTGATGCTTGCTCCAGAACCTTACAGGCTTTGCTTGGGAAATATGAAGTGCAGCAATGTTTTTCCTGCCTCACTTTCAATGTTCTTAGATTGAAGAACATTTTAAAAGTCCGTGTTTTTCTTTTCTGTCTGTTCTAACCTAGAATGCCTTATTGTTGGGCTGTAGCAGTGGACAATTTAAGAAGAAGTATACCCAATCTAAAGGGACTGTGAGTTTTATTGCTGCCTTAAAAATAATTTCCCCCAAACAAAAATCCTGTGAATTAACTAATCCCAATAAACCTGCATGTAGAATGGCACTAAATTTGCTCATCATTTTGGGCTCAGCATTTCTCACCTGGGTATAATCTTCTCATGTTCTCTTCTGCTCCTCTCCACCCTTCTTCACTCTTGTTTCGGCTTCGTTCTAGCACCGTAGCAGACATTGCTGGGGATTTGCTGGGTTGTCTCAATAGTAGGCTTCTCATGTGCTTTTTAAGGAAGAAATAACTGACCCATGAAATAGATTAAAGGTGACTATTAGGTGCTGTTGTCCTTTGTAAAGAACAGTAATGAAAGCAACAATAAGAAGTTATATCACGCAAACCTCATATTAGGAGCCTGGAGAAGTTGTTGAATAAGAATGAGAAATTACTAGTGTGTTAGTGTTTGCAAATGTGTTTAATAACTTACTTTGAAAATCCATATTTTATTAAGAGTTTAACTTCTTAATTTGCTGAAGAAACAGTGTAATGTTTGTGAGTGACACCTATTGTTTTAAGATAGCATTTACACAGTAGACTTTTTACATATTTTAGAAGTTCTTTCTGTCGTTCACTCAGTATTTAAAGATAGTGTCATGTGTGCTGCTGTCAAAAAACCCATTTTATATTTATGGAATATTTTAAAACATTATTTGTTCAAGAAATTATACTTTGATATTATTTTTAATTTTGTCTGCTGATACAAATTGAGGATTTTCTTTACTGTTTTATATGTTAACCCACTACCATTTGAAATGATACACTAGAACATAGTTTAAATAAGAGTTTAGCAGCTACTGTTACCACAAAGAATTAGATGTGGATGGTGTTATGTCAGGAACTAGGTCCCAAGAATGACACCCACCTAAAGATGAAATTGCTTGAATACTAAGGAAGCACTGTGTGTGTTGGGTCCCGAAGAGCAGAAGCAGCACTGTTAGAAATGTATGAGCCCTTGTCTGAAACATTAAGGTATTGCTAGGAAAGGGGCATCTAGCTCAGAAAGGCATGCAGATAAGCGAATGTTTTTTCCTTCTAATTTTTTTTCTTAATCAGTACTGGAATTAGCCCAGTGATGTATGTGCCTACTAAGTCCGATGTCTTGGTCAAACTGATTTACTTAGATTTTAGGAATTTTGAAGACCGTTATTTTTCCCTGGGGTCCTAACACAGTTCAGCAAACACAGTTTCCTATTTTCATTTCATAGGGCTTCGTACTATGAAATTTCAGTTGATGATGGCCCATGGGAAAAGCAGAAGAGTTCAGGGCTCAATTTGTGTACTGGAACAGGATCAAAGGCCTGGTGAGTTAACTTGGATGTTGCCTGTCAAGGTGTGGAACTATTTTAAGCTACAAAATTGACTTTCTGTCTTATATAGATGTACCTGAGTCCTCTAATTTGCAGGGACGTCACACTGTTGTTCAGTACATTCAAACCTGGTCTTACTGTCTTCGGGTTTTTTCCCTTCTGTGTTACATGCAATGTTTGCCTCTGTTACTGTTTTCTCAGACTCCATTACTAGAGGAAAAACATTGCCTTTTAAAATCTCACTCTTTCTTTCTTGCCGTCCTTCACTCTCCCCTCCCCACAAACCGGTCTCAAAATCCTGTGTTTTGCAATTTCCAAATCTTTGCCAACTATTTCAACTTCGGCTGCTGCTCCTTTGGTCTGAGCCCCATCTTTTTTGGTAGATATTCTTTGTGCCTGACCTCTTTTTCTCCTGGTTGTCACCTAAATACTCCCAACAGAGTGGTCATTGTAAAGTGCAAAGTGGTATTTCTGAATGGGAGTAGAGAATGTCTGTTTTTGGCTTTAACACTTTGGCTGGCACTGCTTAGTCTGACAGGAACACCCTGGTAAAATGTGGCCATGGCCATCTTACTTTTCTTTAACCCTGTCAAACCCTTACCTTACCCATCAGCCTCTGGAGACACCACAAACTGCTTGTAATTCCCAGCACACACCTTGTTCTTCTTGAGCCTTTTGTTTTTGTTCAATGCATCTTCTCCCTGCTTTGAATTTCTGAACACCCTCCATTTCCCATCCACTGGTTAAAGCATCCAGCCTTCAGATGCCATTCTCTGAAGGAAGCCATCATTAACTAGGTTTCTTTCATGGGCACAGTGGATGGATCCCCTTTGTCCTTCACCAGTGCTTCCCTTAGTGCTGCCATAGCACCAGTCATATATCACTGGTCTAACAGGCTGATGGTACCCAACTAGTTTGGACATTTTGAAGGTTTTGATATGGTAAATCACACATTTCTCATTTTTAGTGTCTTTTTTAGGATGGAAGCAAGGATTCTGTGCTTCTTCTTTTCTAGGTCATTCAATATCAACAGGGTTGCCGCTCAGGCTGTTGAAGATGTTTTAAATATTGGTGAGTACCGAAACAGCTATTCTGTATTATGGAATTATTGTGTACGATGTAATGTCCATGCTATGTGTTTGCTATTCTGTGATGTACAATAGTAACTGAAGATGTTTCCACCTTTCCTTTGTCAATAGCAAGACGACAAGGAAATCTGACTCTTCCATTGAACAAAGAGTTGGTAGAAAAAGGTTGGTACCACCTTTATTTCTTTATTTCTGTCAGCTTTGAGAAAGAACAGTATTATGTGCATCCACTTAATTAGATGTTACAATACTGTCTCGTTAAATGAAGTTAAAGGAGGGCTTTCAAGAAAAAAATTTAAATTACTATTTATGTATTTAGTGTGTGTGTGTGCACCCATGCATGGCTGGTGCTTGTGGAGGCCAGAGCACAGCTTACAGGTATTGGGTCTTTTCAACAAATGAATCCCAGGGATTTGAACTCAAGTCATCAGGTTTGATGGCAGCCATCTTCACCTGTGAACTGTCTTGCCTGTCCTGAAGCTGGAGTTTTATACTGTCATTTGCGTTCACCATGAAACACAGCCCATATATAAAGATATTATAACTGTAGCTATATCCTGGGTGATAGAAGAATTGTGTGCTGTAAATAAGGAAATGCATATCTAAAGTCATACTGTCCCAGTAGGTTTTTCCATAGTCATGGTCTTGCTTCTCAAAGTATTAGCACTATCTAATAGATTTTACTCATTTTCAATTTGAGACTTAAAGGATTTTAATCATAGCTTGGCAGTTAGCATTAGCACTAAATTGGTATCAAGGAAAGGGAGATTGGCACTTGTAATTTCTAGTTATATAATTTTTATGAGAACTAAGTAAAGATACATGGTGGTAGATATTCAGAGTCTTCTGAGTTGCACTCAGAAGTGCATATGTGAGTCAAATAATCACCTTGTTTGTGCCATCTGTACAAATATATACTAACATTATATCAAATGCAAACCTCAATACAGTCAACATAATTTAGCTGAAATTTATAATTTCTATTGAAGTTGCACCCACAACACAGGGATAGACATTAAAATGTGGAAAGGCTTTACTGAGTGAACACTCCTTTGAAGATTGTGTTGTCTACAGAAACTAAAAGGTTATTGGACATCGGAGTCACAGACATTCCTAGAACCATGCTTGATGTCTCTTTCACAGCTTTTAGAACATTTATTAAACTAGAAGGTCAGTGGATTCCTAGAACCACACGTGAAGTTTCTCTCACAGCTGGCACATTTCCTATTTTACTTTTTGTGGTTAGATGATTATTTTGTTTTTTTAAAGAACCAAGTGTAGTTTTTCAACCTTAATAAGGATTTTTAAAAGATGACACTTTTAGTAGTTCCCAGACTTATGTTGCTATGAAGTAACTCCGGGGGTCCTGTGCATGGCAGGGGACTGTAGTGACCTGGTCAGACACAAGGTAAACAGGACACAGCCCCTCTGGTGTTCTGTGCTGTGGTGATGTTCAGGAGGCTATGAGCACTAAGTAAGTTTTCAACTTGATGTATTTTCAAATCATGATGGGTTTATTGAGATACAACCTCATTGCAAGTTAAAGAACATAGCACACGCATATAAAATTCTAGCAGTAGTTCCACAAATAAGGCCTATTATCAGACAGTCTGTTTTTTTTTTTTTTTTAATGTGGTACTTGGCTAAACTTTCACTTTTAACTTCTTGTATAATTGTCCTCTTTTCTTGTTTTCTTTGAAGAGATAAAAATCTGGGTGCAAAAGCTGGCCTCAAATTACTCTTGGGCTTAAGCCATCCTCCTGCTCCCCACCTCCCACAAGTAGCTGGGCTGTAGACATGCAGTGCCGTGCCTGGCCTGTATTAGTCTTTAACTAATTTATGTTTTGCTTGCCATGCCTCAGGCACTTCTTTGTTAGATACAAAATGGGTCTAAGTGTTTCTTCAAATATCTTGAGATGTTTAGCCTCACTGGAGAAAACTTAACCACCTTTCATTGGCTGAGACTGCATTTTCCTCTTCTTATTAACTCTGATGTGATACTTAAGGAAACCTGACAACTCATGTTTCAGTTTTGAGTTTGTCTTACTGCTTAATTCCTAGGTTTGTAGTATTTGTTTCTCTCCCTGCCCCAGTTATACCTGTTTCTTCTGTTGTAGGTGATGAATTCTTCTGTGGGTTAATAATTGAACCTAATAGTCATTTATTTCTAAGGCTTTTTATGGTAGAGTATGTAATATGAGTTCCCAAGAGATAACGCTTTCAAATAGCCTTTGAACACATGCTTGAAATTGGAAGCAGTGTGTTGTTCACGTGCTTCTCGGATGTGCCTATCCTTTATTAAATCTGCTGATTTTTTCCCTTATAGTAACAAATGAATATAATGAATCATTGCTCTACAGTCCCGAAGAACCAAAAATACTTTTCAGTATTCGAGAGCCAATAGCAAACAGAGTTTTCTCAAGCAGCCGTCAACGTTGTTTCTCATCAAAGTAAGCATCCTTGGTCACTTCTTTCATCCCAGTAAAATATTTAATAAAGGAAAAACAAAACAAAACCCACAGAAATAAACAACAAAATCATCATTTTCTTTTTGAGACATGGAGACCACCTAAAAGGAAACATCTTAGCCTTTGCTTTATTCAATTGAGATTTAATTTATATTTACAAATCAAACTCGTTTGTGTGTATTTCTTACATCTTAATGTCTTATGTTTGAATGTTAACTAATATAAATAGAAGGCTTCATGACATATGTGATTGGAAAAGACACTGTAAACATACCATGAAATACACTTGAACAACAAAAGGTTGATAAATTGCTCTAAACCAGGATTAAGAACTCCAAAGAATATTCCATTAAGGAAACAAAACAGCAAGGTACAGAGAAAGATATTTGCAAAAGATATCTGGTCTATCTCAAGGTATTTAAGAACGGTGTGAAGCAGTGAAGTCACTGCTCCAGTAGCCAAAACTTTGTGAGCATAGACACTGTGCCACAAATGGGATTCGGAGCTTTACTTCCGTGATTGTAATCACAATGCAAGTGCACTGGAAAGTGTGTTGTATTAAGTTACTTGAGGATGTATGTACACTAGATGTACAGTGTAGGTGAAATGTGAATTTTGTTTAGATTTGGGTTTCATCCCCAGATACCTCTTACACACATGCACGCACACATGCATGCATGCACACATGTAAATACTAAAAATGTGGAAATCTTAATAAAACATTTCTGTTTCTAAGCATTTTGGTTAAGGGCTACTCAGTCTACTTAGAAAAATTCTAGCAAATCAATAAAAAGCAGCCCACTGCTTTAAGAAAATAAGAAGCTGAAGATGTTTGATCTTTCTCAAAGGCATATTTAATAAACATCTTATTCATTTGAGGAATGAAAACATCCCCAAACTAGCATGGCTGGTATGAAGTTCAAGAACGGACAGTTCCCTACAGTGATAGACAGTAGGTACACTTGAGAAGAGGCAGGCAGCTGCTACTGGGAGAAGGAATTGATGCTATGTTCGTGAACTGTACATTAGTGAGTTGTCTCTTCCACTCTTACATTATATAATCCTTAAGTAAAATTTTACATGAGAATGCACTCTTGTTCAGCACTTAAAATCCTTGTATTGGAAATAACTTAGAAGTTACATGAAAGTGTAGGAACCGAAGCCGGTTCCTACATGAAAGTAACCTAGCAACCACACCACGTCTTTTTTTTCCCACTGATAAATACTGAAGCAAATGGTTCTACCTTGAATTTTAAACTTGAGATGTTGATAATACACCCATATTGTTGCCAGTCACTGATTGTCAAATCAGAGAGCAACTAAATTCTTAAAATCAAGGCCAAATAAGCTATTGGTTATGCCAACAAAAAACAGAGTTCATTTAGTGTTAAGATATTTAATGTTTTATATTTAATGAGACATCTCTTTCCCCTTAGAGTTTGTGTCCGTTCTCGATGTTGGGATGCCTGCATGGTTGTGGATGGAGGAACTTCTTTTGAATTTAACGATGGAGCAATTGCTTCAATGATGATCAATAAAGAAGATGAGCTTCGAACTGTGATTCTAGAACAGTGAAGGATTTCCTCAGATGACACATTTGATTACTAGAAACATATTTTTTTTTCTGCAGATACAGATGACCAGCCATAAACCTACCTTATTTTGGTCCTTGCTCAGACTGGCTACCACTAGAGTCAAAGGTGACAAAGTGGGATCCATGTCCTGTTCTGTTCCATTGTGATAGACAAAAACTGTTGACCTTGTGAGAAATGATGGACTAAATGGATTAGAATTACATTGGTGAAGTTTCTATAGTATTTACAGTTGGTAACCAAGAATATTGATATTCTTTAGAGAGGCAGGTTAAATAAAGGGTTAAGTATTTAGGATTTCAAATTTAACTGTTTTATAAGTGTTTTGGTTTTATTTTTTTTTCTTTTTCCTAACTTTGTGGAGTTGGCTTTGTGTCATTAGTGCATTATTTTTATAGTACCTAAGGGAAAGATTTTTTAAAAATTTTGATGATGGAGAATTTTGATAAATCATGATGTAGACCTAACTGAAGTTGGTAAATGTGCTTTTATATATGCTAAGAATTTTCTAATTCTAGGAAATAATGATAAAATCATTATTGATTGAAAAAAATTGAATCATTTTTAAAATTATTTGTAGATGAATTCTGACTTCTTTTGATTAGTGTCAACAATGCTAGATAAAGTACATCTGTTGGGACAAATGATGCTTTGTAAATGTATTAATTTTTCTGTACAAATTGTTGGTCATACAAACTTAATAACTTGAGTCCAATATCCCCTTTCCTGTCTTTGAATCTCTAGTATGAACTCAAGAATTAGAAAGATAACCAATGGATATGTTTTGTTAGGAGTTTGGCAAAACATTCAAACCTTCCTTTCGTTTTAGAATCGTCAGTAAGAGAATTGGACATAGTTTTGAAATTGCCTTACTATAGTATTTTCCGTATTCCAAATTTTAAACAGTAGCTCTGTAGGATAAAAACACCAGAGCTTCCCCCCCCCCACCCCAGTGTAAAAACCACTTTATTTTTGAAGGAAACTATTTTCATTTAATTCTTGATCTTAAAAGTAACTAGTTTTCACAAAACGTTCCCATTGCTAAATAATGAAATGGTATTCTCATGCCACTTACTCAGTAGAGTCATTTTCACTTGTTGGTGAAATTGGTTTTCATTGACAAAGTATTTATTGAAGATGCATTCTGTGCCTATCATGGCATGTCATATAATGAAGTGTTGGATAGACACTGAAATAGACTGTTGATGGGACTTGAGCCTAGTGAGCTCAAAAGTCAGTGCTGAGAGCTAGGATGCATGATCAGTTCAAATGCTCTTAGCTTTGCCAAACTCAACATGCTGCTCTTAACAACTAAAACATGAATGTCAACATGCAAGGCAAGCTAGGTCTGTCTAGGTTTTGTTGTTTATCCAGAATGTGTTCCTTCAGAGTATCTGCAGGAGGAAATATGCTAGTGTTTTTGCTGAGCCAAGTCTAATTTCTAGTTTAATTTTTTTAAAAAACATGATATATTTAAGATACCACTTTATATGGAAGTTAAATTCCACACTATATAAATTCCCCCCAAAGGCTTAAAATACTTTGTGAGGGGGGGAAAATGCCACTTCTGCCATTACTGTATCCAGGAGTCTGGTTGTCCATGATTTACCACAGATCTATTAATATGTACTACTAGCTAGTAACTAGCTGTGTGAATTGTTCATAAGCTACATTTGGAAAAGTATTAAAATTACTGACTACGTTTGCAGTCTAACTTCTGCTCTGTTGCAGGAAGGGTTTATTTGTAATAGATGAATGGCAAAGGATGTTGGAGTATCAGAACTGTCTTCTTAATGGGTTAACCTTTAATGACCACTGTATGCAAATAAAATTAAACCATTGTCTGTTCTTTATTACTTTGTTTCTTATTTCCTAAATAAGAATTTAGGAATTCTTATGAGATCACTAAGTAAACCAAGTTTTCCCTGAATACCATGTTTCAAGTCTATCCCCACAGCCATGTCTTCTATGTCCTGTAGTCTCACCTGGTTCATTTCCATTACTCGGCAGAATGATAATTTGTTCATTCAGAGGGTAAAATGCTTAGTTCAAAAATGTATTTTTCATATAATTTAGTTTAATATTTTTTATGTCCCAAAGTTTCTACATTCTGGAATGGATAGCTTTGATATACAAAACAATTTCATTTTTTTTTTTGTAAGTAAGATAACCCAAATAATTACTTACTTTTGTAAGTAAGATAACCCAAATAATTATAAAATGTTCACTTGAGCTGAAAATATCAAATAAAAAGTTAAGGATACAGGGACTAAGGAGATGGCTCAACACTTAAGGCCCTTGCTGCACAAACAGGAAGACCTGAGCTCAGATCCCCAGAAGCCACCAAAAAAGCTGGCTGTGGTCGGTCGCACTTGGCCCACATCGAGCCTGGCAGGAGGGGAGCAGTTGTTGTGGTAGAGAAAGAATTGCTGGAGCTTGTAGGCTGCTAGTCTAGGTCCAGGTTCAGTGACTGTCTGACAAGAGTAAGGTAAAGAATGATAGATCAGACCACCTGACATCCTCCTGTGGCACCCCCACACATGCATGTTCACATATTCTCTCGAACAGTGAGAAAAAGTATTTAAGGAGATGTAGTGCTAAGCTATGAGAATAATACATTAGAATTTCTGTCACCAGGAGCTCTTTCTGCAGTGTGCATATATCTCTATCCATATGCTTAAGGGTACTAAAAATATCCCATGGATAACCACTATGTGAAATAATAATCGTGGGGGAGGGGTAAGAGTAAATACATTGCTGAACTGTAATCCCAGCCCTTGGGAGGTGGGGCTAAGATTGTGAGTTAAAAGTCTTGCTTGGGCTATGTAGTAAGACCTTGTCTTAAACAGTGAACCCTCCAATAACATTTCAATTATGTTTTCAAATGCTTTATATTTATGAGGGATTAGCAGGCATAAGTCAGTGAGAGGCTATTTTGTACATTAAGGAAGGTGCACTCCAAGTTATTTTAAAGAAAATCAATGATTAGGTAGGGAGCTAAAGAAAAAGCACACCCTGTTCTTGATGAGGACCCAAGTTTGGTTCTCAGCACCCACATCAGGTAGTTCATAAGAGCTGATAACTCCAGGTCCATGAGGTCTTCTGGCCTCCACATGTACTCACACACACAAGTAAATAAATAAAAATTTATGGTTCTCACGGAAAACGGAGCCTGATACAAACACCATTTCAGATCTTACCGGTGTCTCCTGTTGTGCAGAAGTCATCCCTGACCTAGCGCTAGATCTAACTGCAGCTTAGGAAGATGACCAACGTGGCTGGGGCAGCTTAACCTGTTTGGCATTTTTTTCAAGGATGACGTCACTACAACCCAGATTGGCTGTAGAATACAGAACACATGATCTAGCTTCAGTACATAAGTTCCCAGGGATGAAAGAAAACCTAAAGCTTAACTTTTGAAAGAATCATTGAATGCAACACGTAAACCACGCTAGGAGACTGATCAAAACAAACTAGGAATGGTGGCATAAGCCTGTAACCCCAGCCAACACCTGGCAGGCAAAAACCAACGAGTTCAAGGTCAGCTGGAGCTAACAGCCATCTCGGGGCTCGTGTGAGATACATAATGAGCTCTTGTTTTAAAACCAAAACAGTTCAAACACACACAAGGAAAACTGGGAGACAGCTCTTCAACCCCATCCCTCCATTCAGTGTTTACAGTTAATGTTGGATCTCTATCTTCTACACACACTGAGGTTTTGTAAAATTGTCTTCATATGAGGGAACGGTTGAGATCACATTAATGAGGTTGACCAGGCGTTAAAGACGGCTGTCACGGGATGGTGAGGCTATATGGATATACTTCACATTCTCCATCATTTAAAAACAAAAACTAGCACTATAATGGTACTGTAATTTTTTTAAAAAAATCAGTAAACTTTATGGATGATTTAGAACTACCAGCCTGGCATTTAAAAGGAAAGGTTCAAAGGGACTGAACTACTGCAAGCTCTGGCATGAGCTATTCACACCATTTCTAAACCATGGAAATATCCAACGTAAGTTGACCCAGTCTGTACTTAGCATTACATGACACCAGACACTTGAATTCAGATACTTTGTAAATGTCATTATTATTGAGAGCACATTAAGATTGACAAGCCTGTATTTAGCACTTTTCAGAATGCACCATGAATTTGTTTTGACAACACGCACATAAAGTAGACAGGTAGATTGGGGTTGAGGTTGAAATCTCATTTTATCTACCCAAATGGCAACCCAAACTGGTGCTTTCTAAATTTAATGACTGCACAAAAGAGGGACACCAATTAGCTCAAATACTTGTTTTTATAAAAATGTACTTTATTTTAAAATGAGTCTATAAAAGTAGAAATCACATACAAAAATACAGATTACTACGACATGTTGGCAAAAGAGCTCCCAGAGGGACTTGAATAAGGAAGAACTGGTGTGGTGTGTCTGAGGGCAGCTGGAGGCCAGTGTCCTACCAGAGCCCACTGGCAGCCCATCACTAATCTGTAAACAATAGTTTCAAGTAGTAGTTAGCACTTTAACTACTCGGGAATTGAAGCATAATCATTCCTGTGTTACACTTTTTTAAATGTTCTTTAGGTCTGAGCAGATAAAGGCACTTCATATTATTGGAAACAGTAACACTTCTTGATGAAAAAGTTAATAGTACTGTTGTATTCAAAAGAGGTAATTGCCTTAATTTTTTTCCTTTCCATTTTCTAAGAAACACAATTTGATCTTTTTGCTTTTGTGTATCAGGTGTTAAAAGTGTTAAAAAAATAACATCTGTTATCAAAGGTTTAATGCCCAGTGAGTCTCAAAATCATGTAGGCGAAGTGCAAGTCGTGCCAGCTGCTTGGAAGCTGCACATGTACCTGCTTCTTGTGCATTTCTGGTGGAGAGAAAACAGCAGTTCCACTTAAGGAACTTTAGATCCAGTAACATAATGGGCAGTTTCAAGCCACTGTGAAAGAATTTCAAGTCCTTGATTTCAGAGTAATACACAAATAAGTGCTGCACTAAGAAGGAGGAAACAGCAGACAAGATCAGCTCAGAGTTCTGTCCGACCTCTCAAGAATGCTGATTAGAATACCTTAATTCTAAAACAAAGCAAGTACTTTAAAAAGCTAAACAACCCATATAACATACATTGATTATAAGGTTTAAAAAGCACAACTGGATTCCTTCACCTAATTTAGAATTCTGGGAACACAGCATAGTACCTAAAAACACTGCAGGGCACTTCATATTAACCTGACTTTAGGAAACAGCCTTTTGAGGCTTCAAATCCTCTCCCGATTCTGTCCTTTTGGGTGTGTCTCTCTCTGTTTCTCATTTAGAGTTGAAGGTACACTATGCAGGGCTGTGTTTCTAGTCAACTGACTTCACACCTGCACACAACACCCATAGGTGTTAATTCCCAGAAGAGGAGGCCTGAGACGCTACCAGCCCATGATTCTTTCCTTTCAGCCCACCATACGTATAGCTTATTGTTCTTCAAAATCAAGTTTTATAAAATACTGAATAATTAAATAGATAAAAAGTTATGACAAACACCATGAAAACTGTTAGCCAGCGGTAATTTTAAAAACCTGATTCTAAATAGACTTAATGTGAAGGGCACTTGGAAGAGTTGGCTCAAATTTCGCTTTAAAAAGCTATTTTGAATAATAGGCTCACCTAAAATTTCCAAAGACCTAAACACTTGTGCTTTGAGGACACAGCACTGACAGAATCATCTCTATATTCTTGAAATGGCTCCCTATCATACACGCACAATGAAGGCTATGGTAAAACCGATAGGAAAGGTAAACCAAGGTCTCCAGCAACTGGATTCGCTGCCGGTGTTCCTCATTCCAAAGGATGAGGAGACATCATTCTGCAGCAAGCACTTCATACACAGCTGGGCTTTTGCAGAGTCAGTCGGCACTTGATACCCCAAATCTCTGGGTTCTTTTTGTTGTCCATAGTTGGCCTTGCAATGGTGGTGAAATAGGCACAATTAATCTGCAGGTGAGGAAGGGCTTCTCTCAATAGCTGCAGGGTAGCATCTGGCACGATTCCAAAGACTTGTAGTGTTTTTAGTGTGGGAATTTCTCCAAGTTCACTGGAAAGGAAGAGAAAATTTCGGATGTATGGCAATTGCTAGACTAATTATTATAACCCATTGTTTGTAATTTATATCAGTCTACAAAAAGCAGCCTAAAAGCATAATTTATAATAAATGATTATAATACCACAGGGATATAATAGCTGGGAAACACGGCAACCCGACCCATGTGGGTACAGGAGACAAGCCCATGTGTCTCATTCCTTGTAGCTACTATGGAACTATGAAGTTTATTGTAATTTTTAATTGAACTGAATTTGCCTCTTTCTCCGTTCTTGATCTATACAGATCTCTGGAAGGGTTACTGTGATGTGAGCTATTAATCGAGAAATGGTCAATGTTTCACTGTGGTGTCAATTGGAACCATCCCAAGATTCATGTGATTTAGGAATCTGGCCATGACCTTTATTTGAACTAGGCTCTCTCAACAGAAGAAACCAGCAGCATTGATGGCTTCTTAGTAATGATACCCCACTGCAGTGGGACCCACCAGTGATTTCCATAAGGTATTTTTTAATGCGGGATTACATAGACCACAGATGAAATAAAAGGGAGGGCAACTTATAGCAAAGACCTCTTCTCTACATAGTAATTTTTTCCCTGTTAAGATAGGACAGACCTTTTTATATGTGTTTCATGGTAGGTGACATTGTGTTAACAGTGAGACGACTGGGGTCACACAAAATTGACCCTGTTTAGCAAGGAAAACACTTTGTGGCTTTGGTACTGACTCTTTTTAAAACTGGTCTG